CACAGAAGAAGTGGTGAACGTGGTAAGACTTGCAGTGGGCAAGATGGAAAGTTAGGAAGACATGGATGGCAGAGTTCATGAAGGACACACTCCACGACCCGACAGCTAAACCGGCACAAATCTTCGTGTTCATGACGGTGTTGTAGTGCAATGGTCTACAGATGGCAGCAAACCTGTCATAGGCCATGACGGCTAACATGATACACTCTGTTGATCCTAAAGCCAAATGGAAGTACATCTGTACTGCACATTCCAATATCAAGATACTTCTATCCATGGCCAAAGTGTTCATTAGAATTCTTGGTACCACATTGGAAGAGAAGCCGATGTCAATGATGGAGAGATTACTCAGGAAGAAGTACATGGGGGTCTGTAGCTTGGGGTTGATCCTCACCACGATGATCAGTAGAAGGTTTGAAGACAATGTCATTATGTACACCAATAATAAAAGGAGGAAGAAGATGACCTGGAGATACGGGATGTTAGAGAGGCCAAGGAGGGTGAACCGTCCTGGAGATGTTTGGTTCATTACTTTCAGTTCATGTCTGATAAGTGAAAGGTAAAAATGTAATATGTATATACCCTGTTTCCCCGAAAATAAGACCAAGTACTTTTTTTGGGAAGTGCTAAAATATGAGACCTAGTTGTGACCATTCTCAGGGCTGGTGGTGGCATAAGGGGGAACTTGAAGAGCTGCAGGAGAGAATCAGCGGTGCTAATGAAGCCAGCGCTAGAGGAAGCGAGGCGGCAGCGGAGGGAGCAGAGCCGCATAAGCCGATGCCTCCTCTATAGCCCCGCCTCCTGTCACTGGTGGAGTCATACCAAATGCACTCCGCCTGCGAGGAATCCATAGTGAAATCGCGTTTTGCTCATTCTGGCCAGCAATTGGTTACCAAATTGCTCTTGGAAAGGTACGGCGCCGCCGATTGCCCTGATCACCTTATTCTTAACTTTGCCATTTTGGCTGATTTAAATTTGGATTGTTATACATTAAAAAAAAGAGAGAGAGAGAGGGAGAGAGGGGGAGAGAGAGGGGCGAGAGAGAGACAGAGAGAGAGAGAGAGAGAGAGCGGGAGCACAGTAAAGACAAGATTTTATCCTTTTTTCACTCATAAATTACCATATGTTTGATTTTGAGTATTTTGCTTTTTTAATTGAATTCCGTGATGTTCACAACATCTTTTAGCGTTCAGAAAACATTGTCATTGCAGATGGGTAAAGATGTGGAATAAATCCCTTCAATGCAGAGAAATCACATGTATCGGAGTCGTCTCTTTATATAGGATGTAAGAAGCACATTCTGGTCCCTCAGAGAGGAAGGACAAGGAGAGTCTCAGTATCTCCCAGTAGGACGCTCTCTCCGCTCTTGTTGTCTGTTTTACATTCTTAAATAATGTTGATATGAAGTTAATTGTATTTTTACTATTTTTGTTTTAACCGTTATTACCTCATCGCCATTATCATCATCATTATTATCATCATCATTATTATTGTTTTGCCTTTGTTAAAATCTAAATGTAAATTATTTGAGAAACATTTAAAGCTGACCAAACATGATACAATGTAACTGTACAATTCTTGTAAATTCTCCAACAACTCTGTGCCGGCACAATCCATTCAATATATATCCAGTCCGGTGGAGTCCTACCCAACATATCTGCTGGTAAATTAGAAGAATGCACTTTGGAACCCCTGAAATCAGGCGCACTCGGCCACGCCAATCTCGAGTCTTGGAAGTCAACACTCAATCCCACCTTCTTTTGCCTCCTGCACTCCTTCTTTTGACCCAAGTAACTATCATTGTTATTAGAAGTGGATCCCCAACGGGAACCTGAGCACTTATCCCATATCAGGTTTCTTTATAACATACACACTGTATACTCCTCCTCCTCCTCTTGCACTCCCTCCTTTGACCCACTAGGCAGCATTAGTGGACAATCTGTACAGTCCTTACCAGTAAGTGGAGTGAAGGGCCGAGCCAGGCACAAGCTTACTAGATGAACCTGAGATCCAGTCACCTGAACTTAATAGACACAAGGAGATACGGTGCTTTCAATTAGCTCCTATGGGTGGATGGAGGGATGCAGAGGCATTGGCGTCACTGGAGGGTTTCCCTCCAGTGACGCCTACCTGGATTGGGGTCGAGATGTATTCCTTGATAAACCAAGAACGATGTCTGCAGAGCAATAGTGTACATGATAAGCACATTGTAATAGGGTAAGGATTGCTGCATATGGATAAGTGTCTTGATACCTTAAATATCACACAATTGTATTTTTCAGCGCCTATGAACCCTCACATTCGGGGAAGCTCTGCCGATTTCAGCTTAATCTAAGGAGACCCGGCACAAGCTTCTTAGGTGAAGAAGAGATCTCCTTAACCAAGGCAGCATTTGACAGCAACAACTGGGCGGTGTTCCCATTTTTTCTCAAATATTAAAGGGGACAATATCTCCACACAAATTGTCTACTGGAGGACTCCATCATCTCCTTAAGCACTGTGACGGACCCCAGGTACCCCGACAGGGTACCTCCGCCAAAGAGCGTCTCTTGCCCCCCAAACCCCACTCTCAGCCAGCAGATTGGCAGTAACCAGCCCCTAACCCCCAATCACGAGGCAAAACTCATGTTGAAGGTTCAACATAGAAAGAGCAACTCCTTTATTAAACAAAGGACATTCACTTTAGAGACACTGGGAGGGCTACAACCCCCTCCCCCTCCCCTCCCCCTCATGACAAACACCGATAACAGCTTACACAGGGAATCAGACATTTACATACACAGTCACAGTACAATAGGGTGAGCATCAGATAACAGGTGAGGGGGGGGCGGAGCTATGCAACTTCTATACAACTGACTTCACTTAATTAAGTCGCCATTCTGAATAGACAAACCATGTGGCCAAGTCCTTGTCCTCCACCATTCATATATTTCCCAGAGGGCAACAGTCACTGTCTGCATATACCCTGTTTCCCCGAAAATAAGACCTACCCTGAAAGTAAGACCTAGCACTATTTTTCAAGATTCCTGTAATATAAGACCTACCCCGAAAATAAGACCTAGTTTGGTGGTAGCATGTGAGGGGGAACGTGAAGAGCAGGAGAGATGGTGTCAGCCTGCAGGGACATGTTGTATTAAGGGGATGACGGGGGACTCCCTCCGGCCAGCGCAGTGACAGGGAGCACTCCAGTACCATACGTCACCAACTGCTGGGGAAGGAGGACATAATGTACACTGAGTATCACCCTTTGTGTTTTGTCCTAAGTAGACTTCTTCAGAGCCCTTAAAAAATAGAAACGTGAAGAAGTCTAATTGAGGATGAAACCTGATGGGAGGCAATTGCTCTGTATACTCTTCCCCATCTGCTCCTTTTTGACCCCACTGGAGTGACATGTGACATGGAGGAGCTGAATGTGTGAATGAGGTCCACAGGGGTGAGTAGGACAGAGAGACACAAAGAGGTGGTAGCATGGACTCCGGGCAGAGGAGTTATTGGTTGGAACATCAGGAACCGCATGGTGGTCAAGACATCTGAGACTGAAGGGCCTCCAGGAGGAGTGGAGTTAGAGGAACCGACTATACTCGGTCAACACCCATCTAGGAGGTAAACTGGCTGGAAATCTAGATAAAGACTGAAATTCAGAGAGAGGGCTGCTATTCTAGTGAATGCAAAGTGTGATGAAAGGGAGGAGCCCCTAAGACCCTATCGGTGTGTTCGCCTAGTCTGTATTATCCAACAAATGTCAATCACTTCCTGCCTGACCAGGACTGGGACATACTGCATGTCTCCTTTTTGCTCTTGATGCCACATGGACTGGTGTCAGGTGTGTCAGGATCGCCAATGGCTTGGCAGAATAGGGGTGGAACTCACTGGCAGGAAATGGCCTGAAGCGTCCGAAAGCAGAGGTACAAAAGGGATAATCCAAAAGAGAAGTCAAGTCCAATCCGAGTCGAGGCCGGCAGCGAGGGTCCAGGGGCGAAAGGCAGTCCAAGGTCGGCAACAGGCGGTCCAGATAAGATGTCAGGAAGCAAAGTAAGGTACACAGATAGGGAGCTAGGCGATCACACCGTAAGGTGGAATAACTCAGCAACAAGCCAGAGCTCTGGCCAGGTTTTTATAGCCAGGGGGGTGTAAGTCCGCCCACTGTCGCCGAGGCAACCAGGAGGCTTCTCTCCCCGAGAGCCAATGGCAGGCGAGAGGTGGTATGTGTGGGCTGGCAACCTCCCCCAGCCTAACCTTCCGGGGATGCGAGCCGCAGCCAGTGTATTGCGCATGCGCACCCATCGCATGACTTGCACATGCGCACCAGCAACCCGGGCGCCAGTGGTTCTGCCAGGTTGAAGGAAGACCCGTACCCTACACCATGCCTGCTGACCCTGCGGGGAGGTAACACCCCTGGTTCCCTGACAAAGTGTAGGTATGCATGGTGAATAAGGGTTGGCAGTAGATGAATGGTGGGGGTGCTTCTTTACACCACAAACACTGCAAGCTTTTCTCATGACTGCAACATAAAGGTTTATATCATTATTCGTAATTAGGCTGGAAAAAGACACAAGTCCATCAAGTTCAACTAATAGAAGAAAATAATAAATAGAAAACCTCCATAGACGGAACCCTACGCCCACAGCTACCCATAGATGATCCAGAGGAAGGCAAAAAAAACCCTATAAAGCAGGGATGGCCAAACTGCGGCCCTCCAGCTGTGTGGTGGAACTACGAATCCCATGAGGCTTTGCAAGATTCTCACAGCCGCAGGCATGACTCCCGGCGAGAGATGCTACATGGGATTTGTAGTTTCACCCCACAGCTGGAGGGCCGGAGTTTGGCCATCCCGGCTATAAAGCATGACAACTCTGGCTCCATGACTGGCCATAGGCTGCTTCCCTCTGCCCCTCCCCCTAGGACCATCTGACGGAATAGGCGATGAACTTAGACTTTGGGATCCATCTGGCCAGGAACCCTTTTCTAGATCTCAAAGTTATGTTAGTAAAGCCGCAATTTCAACAGCTCTTCACGCGGAGAAAGATCCTTCTCGCGGTCCCTTGAACTTCCTTATTCCTAACGCTATAGATAAAAGGATTCAGCATCGGAGTCACCACTGTATAGAGGATGGACGCGGCCCGGTCCGTTTGTGAATAAGCGGACGGGGGTTTCATGTACATGAACATAATAGTCCCATAGTACAGAGTGACAACAGTCAGGTGGGACCCACACGTGGAGAAGGCCCTTTGTCTTCCTTGCGAGCAACGGATCTTCAAGACGGTGGAGATAATGTGGTGGTAAGAAATGAGCGTCAGCATGAAGGAGCACATCACTATGACGACTGCTGAAACATACACGAGTACCTCATTGAGCCGGGTATCCCCGCAGGAGAGTTGTAGGAAGGGAGGTATCTCACAGAAGTAGTGGCTGACACGGCGGGACCGACAGTAGGGCAGGTCAAAGGTGAGGACAACATGAAGGGCGGAGTTTATGAAGCAAAGGCTCCACGCTCCGGACGCTAAACAAAGGCACAACTTCCTGTTCATGATATTGTTGTAGTGCAGCGGCCTGCAGATGGCAGCGAATCGGTCGTAGGCCATGACGGCAAGTAAAATACACTCTGCTCCCCCGAGAGCCAAAGAGAAGAACATTTGCAGGGCACAACCCGACAGCGAGATGCTCCGGTCCTTGGACACGGTGTTGACCAGGAGTTTGGGAACGATGGTGAAGGAGAAGCCGATGTCAATAATGGAGAGGTGACTGAGGAAGAAGTACATGGGGGTCTGCAAAGCTGGATTGAGCCTCACCGCCAGAATCAGGAGGAGGTTTCCAGATACCGTAATGACGCACATCACCGACAACACAAGGACACAGATGACCTGCAGGTACGGGATCTCCGATAGACCGAGAAGGGTGAAACTGTCTGCAGAGGTTTCATTGGAACAGTCCATGATAGTCAACTAGAGCCTGGAAGGGGAGACGGGAGAGACCGGGGAATAATTCATACGTACGGCCTGTGAAGGGTTCCTGAGGACACGAAAACTTCCTAAACGGAGAAAAACACCTTCTAAAAACGTCACTTCCTGTATGTCTCGTTATTCTTAAAGGGAAAGTACAGAAGGTTTGAATATCATTTCCTCTTTTATTGATCACGGTCAGGGCTGATTCTTGAGTTAGATGCAGTCTTCCATCCGGCCACTGGGCGGAGCTTTATGTCTTCTCAGTTTCTCTCGACCACCTGCAGTAAAAAAGCATGTTGTTTACAGAGCCCAACAGCTCAAGATGAAGTTCTTACAGGGCAGTAAATCTTCCCCTATCAGGCACCTCTGTCACACCTTCCTTAGGGTTAGGTACATGGAGCCTCAAAGCAAGCTGCATCTGCTAACCCATAGTGCGGAAATAGAGGAATCAGGGCTTTAACCCATTGTGGTCCTGGAATTCTTCATCATTTATTAATTGTAATTATTTAGTTACAAAAAAAAGGAAAGAACCCGAAACCTGAGGTAGACCAACAGTCTAGTAATTCATATGTGTCTTAGTGTTGGGGTTACAGTGAGGGTCAGTGTTGGGGTTACAGGGAGGGTCAGTGTATGGGTTACAGGGAGGGTCAATCTTGGGGTTACAGTGAGGGTCAGTGTTAGGGTTACAGGGAGGGTCAGTGTCGGGGTTACAGGGAGGGTCAGTGTTGGGGTTACAGGGAGGGTCAGTGTTGGGGTTACAGGGAGGGTCAGTGTTGGGGTTACAGTGAGGGTCAGTGTTGGGGTTACAGGGAAGGTCAGTGTTGGGGTTACAGGGAGGGTCAGTGTTGGGGATACAGGGAGGGTCAGTGTTGGGGTTACAGGGAGGGTCAGTGTTGGGGAGGAACAGTGTTTGGGTTATAGGGAGGGTTGAGGTACTTTACGTACCTCATCCCCCACTCCCACAGGCTCCTCCTGTCCATGTGACCGGGCCCCGCTTAATTCACAGACACTCTAAAGGAAACTGGTAACTGGAGTCCTGTTCTCTGTTGGTCCCAGCTCAGACAAATGGGTTCTGCAGCTGACCCACCCTCATGCTCTAGGTGTTGTTAATATCCCTATTCATGTACTGGTGTGTGCCTAGTGGGCTTGGGGAATGGGCCACCTACGTGTGGTGCGGTCCAGGAGACAGTATTCAGAACCCGGGCAAATAAACTTAGGGTTAGGGTTAGACATGAAGAAAGGTCCATGCTGGAAAAGGGTCCCCCACTCTCTGTTCAGCTGACACAACCTGTATGTGATCACTCGTTTGGGATTTGGGAGAGGGGTCCTGTACACCCTTGGTGCGCTGAGCAGCTTGATCTGACCCCCGGCTGCCGGGGGGGGGGAGGGTCTACGGGGACACTTTGAGGATATTCTCCCCATTG